ACGTGTGGTGGTACGTGCGGCGGTGATGAAGAGTTGGCATGCACGGAACGTCTCGCTCGACGCTCCAGCCAGAGGCCGCCGCAGCTGCCTCTCTATGGAATTGGTCGTGCTCCTGGGGCTCTGAATGCGCGTGGGGTAGCCACCGATGGAAGGAGCTTCAAATGTGGTTGTTCCACGTACTGTGGGTGTGCTATGCGGTCGCCCGTGTCTGGATTCGAGCTGAACGCGAACGGGATGAAGTGTATCACACAAAAAACATGTTTTCTGATCGTTTCAAGCACACATAGAATAGCTCTTTTGTACTATAGATTAGATGTATCGTCTTTATTAGCCCCAATTTTTTAGCGATTTTTGAAGCATATTCAATGCTCGTCGTCGCGGACAACCTCCAGTGCGTTTGATCGCTGCGTTCTAAATGCGGATATTCGTGCTCACCGTGCATCACGACGCCGGGACCTGGAAACACTGATCTGATGGCTGTCTTCTGCATTCGGGTGAGTTGCAGGAGGGTCTACAGCTGATATATCATCGCGAGTGGGCAACTGTGGGCCCTGATATATCATGGACTTTGGGGGCTTGTCGGGGGGTGATATATCACTCCCCCATACTGTGGTCAAATAGCACTAAATAGCGTCGATAGCTCCGGGTCTGAACTACATAGCCCGAGTAGCCGTGTAGTGCTATTGCACTACCAAGTACACATACACATCTGTAGAACCGGATATCAGGAAGGCACAGCTGCTGCCTCACTCAATTTCTGCCCGAAATAACAAAAAATAATAATATTGTTGTAAAGAAAATCATGTAGGCGATGGCAGCGAATCTGAGGCATAAATCCGACACTCCTTTCGATGCCGGCACGCGCAGCATGCCTCCCGTGCCTTTGGGTAGAGTTGCCGAGAAGAGGGGAGCTGACACGGCCAACAATGGTGATGGTAATGGGGCCAGAAAGACTTGCGATGTCAAGAGGGTGGTGATAGCATTGGTCGATTACCTAAGTCCTGTGGTACCACGAAGTCGACGGAAGGGCTTGACAATGACGAGGGGCTTGACATGGTGAAGAAACGGACTTCACGGTATTCGGGATACTAAATCAGGATTTGCGGCCAAGAACTTGATAGCGGCTGCGCAAGACGGGTCGGGGGACGACAGAACGGTCTTGACGGCCTCAGATCTTGGCACATGGAATGAGGGTGGATTAAAAGCCGAGAAGAGAGCCGACATAGCAGCGTCAAGAGTGGCGGGACGGGCTTGACGTTTGATGTGGTCTTCCGAAGCCAAGCTCGGCGACACTAGAGTTGCGGTGGATGTGGGGAACATGGGGTGTAGAGGGGGTGCAGGGCTAGCTGCAGAGCGCCTGACCCTCACAAGGCCATCTTGGGTGCAGCCTGCATCGTGGCAGAGCTTCAGGACGACGACATTCTCTGTTGACGCGATGACGTGGCGGGCAGCTTGGGGCATTGAATGAAGAGTGTGAGTAGAGGTCACAGTGAGGGAGGATAGGAGGCGGACGAGAGTGCAACGATGGAGAGGGATGGTCGGCTGCAACAAAAAACGGGGTGAAGACTGGTGGTGGAAGAGATAAAAGCTAGAAGTGGCACTACTTTCTCGTTGTGGTGTTGTTTGGCATCAGCGGAGTTTGAACGACTTAAGGATCAATTACACGATGGCCGGAATGGCCGAATGGAGGCTGTTCTAGCAACCCAACGGCAACCGCATTTCTGCGAGTTTATCGGAGCCATTTATAAATATATCACGGACCGTCAAGATTTGAGTTTCCACTGTTCACCAAATTATCGACAAAATATCTCAAATTTGCGAATATGTTGCAAAATTATGTCGGAGCTTGGTCGGAGCAAGATAATTCCACCAAAATCCTTTGGGGAGGTTTGTCCTGATGCGACTAATGGTAGCTTTGATACCCCCAGCGAGCTCTGATAAAGCTAACTTATTGAGTCAGGGCGGACAACTAAGATAGCCCAAGATGTGCTATAGCGCCATCACCGGCGGCTATCTCTCCATCATTGCGCTAACAGGCTTGACCGCGCTGCTAATTTGGCTATGTACCGCTAATCAAACTACATACTTAAGCGGGGTGCGATCGCCAGGGGGTTTTTTCCTGATGTATCCACCAATAGACCCAGAAAGGCTTAACTGCGATTAAGAAATATCCCCCGCCATCCCAGCCCAGCTATCCCCTTGGAATCTCACCTGGCATGCGAACGCAACATCGAATTTGACACCGAATTTGACTTCAGCATGCATCGTGGTGTTCGTTGTATGTGTAGGTAGGGGGTAGCACATAGCACGGTCCTGCTTAGCAACAGCCGGTTTAAGGAAGTCTCCCGGAGTACTCAATGCGGAACCAATGGTATGGCCACGGGAGGCAGCGGGTTACACGCCAAGCGCTGAAAACCACTGCGTTTAACCAGGTGGCCGATCAAATGGTGGTTCCCAGGCGGTAACTGCTGGTTTCCAGGTGTCAAGTAACTCAGTACTCAGTGTTGTAGCTGGCCAAAACTGGAATCCAGTGGTTGACCCATAGGTGGTCCGGAGCAGCTAATATTTAAAAGAAATGCCAGCAATAAGAATCTAACACAGCCAAAACAAGGCCGCAAACACTGAGAAATTGAAGAGAATGAACCAACTAGACAAGAGTAGCAAATGTAAGGAAATATAAGAGATATACTGACCACGTTCTTCTATCTGAGGGTGTATCGTCGAGTCGAACCCTGATGGCCTATAGAATCCTCCACAGCCTCCCTCAACTGAAGGTCAACTAAATGCAGGGATACAAAAGGAATAGGTACAGTACCTTGGAGAGCTCAAGGGGTTACTCAATCATCCTAGTGTCCTCGGTGCAGAAAATCTCTCACTTTAAATGAGGAGCCCTGAATTTAGACAGGTTGCGCAAAAGCCATTCGAGCCATCAGATGGCCTACGCATTTTAAAATTTCGGCGCCCGGCTTCAGGAGTATCCGAGCCGGGTGTGGGCAAAGATAGGCTAGTTCAACCAGCTGCACTACGAGGTGCGCGCCATCAATTATTGCTGAATTAGTGTGGAGGTTGAAGGAAACGAGACAACACTGCCACAATTTGGTTGTTCCAATTTCGAACCAACTCACTCTCAGTCTCTCCAATGGGGGTTGCTAACGAAAGGAAAGTGGACCCTATTGCGTTGATCTTGCTTACACCTGGCTGAATAAACGTCTAGGGTGAACTTTACACGTGGAGAATCCCTCATTCCCAGGACACCCGCTCATTGACAGGGCCTGTGGGCGAGTGGCATTCTGCTCCGATCAAGCGACACCACTAACAAAAAATCGATGCGCTGTCCGATCGTGGTCGAGAGAGTGTGAAAATTTACGGAATGAAAGACAATACGGTCCGTCTGTTCGACACATGCACACTGTACAAGATTCCTCACACCGCCTGTGCCTTGAGGGGTTCGAGCTCCGCAACGTGGGCCATCTGCCACGCGGGCGCGAATCGGGGTTTAGACGCCCGCGCCGGGATCAAGATAGGCCCCTCGCCGTGCACGGCGCGCGCACGACGGGAAACCGCCCATACCACACAGAGCACTGCGACACAGGTCAGCGGCGAGCATATGAAAATTGAACGCGAGGAGAGGCGTACGCGTAGCAACGTTTGCGAAGGGGAGCACCAAGAGGGCGTCGAGGGTCGCGCATCCAGGGCCGGTGAATGCGTTGGCAGCGCAGGATGCGCTGAGTGCCCCGGCTTGGGTTCCGTGTGCCTGTGGGTACGCGAAGAGCGCGCCTGGGGAAGGGGTGCAGCGGCACCAGGGAGGAGACAGGTTGTTGAATGTCGTGTAGGGATAAGCCCACCAACGATAATCCACAGGAAAGCCACGCCCCTGAGCAGCTCGATGTGGAGTTCGACTTCGGTGCCAGAGCTGCGTGGGCCGCGCGAGGGGCGGGAGGCCGACAGTCTGACATTTTGCACGGCTCGATAAGTGCAAAATGAGGGAATGAAGGGACCGTACAGACTGGTCCAGACCGCGAACGTCACGAAGCCGAGCATGCCCATGACCACGAGCCATCCCGCATGGGTCACTGTGCGAGTGAAATGAGAGCTGAACCAGCGAAAGAAGAGCCGGTCGTACCCTGATGTTGCTCGCCTGAATCCGCCTCGGCTTGCGTGGGGGCGAGGAGGGCGTAGTTGTTCACGCAAGCGCAGCCGAACTGGATGAACGATAGCGCAAGGCCGACATCTGGAACCACGGGCGATCAGGTGAGACAACGCTGCGAGGGACACAGTCACTCACAGTAGAGTCTTGAGATGGACGAAGGGAGCATTGAGGGGCGCGCACAGGAGGCATGTCTTATGCGGCGGAATGGATAGGGGCGATCGGAATATGGAGGCAACCTGAATTAATTGTTCAACCGTTAGCAGTGCAAGAGTGTGCAAGACTGAGCCGTTGCAGAACCTTCATGCTGCGCCACGATCACGCGTGGACGACTCTCCAGAAAGAATAGATCGTCTATCACGATTGCCCATCGTGCTTGGCTTGCGCGCCGAGGGTAACACCGACAACTGTTGAATGTGAGAAACATAGTCTTGAAGATGACGCAAGCAGGTATGCACGGAACCCGGGCCAAACCCAAGGGCAGCTTGGCGGACTAGTATTTCAAGATTAGCGTGAATGCTCAGATCCAGACACAAGGTGTCCGATAATCTGGATGTCCAAATATCAGACACACTGACTCATACAACGACTCATCCAGAAGATGGTGAAGGCGGGACGCAAGAAAGGCAGCACTGCCACCACGGCCCGGGCTTGTTCCGATCAGTGGCAGTCGGATCACGGTCTGGGCCTTCCGACTGTATAAAAACAGCTGCTGGCATTTGCAATCTTGACATTGCGCCGCGGCGCCGCCTCTGCTTTCTGAGGCGAAATTCAACACGAATCTGAATCAGTGGGATTCCAATATTGGAGGCACAGTTCACAGTCCACCACATTGGGAGAGCCTCTCTAATAGGCGCCGATGGGGTAGTGGTAACCTGGGTCGTTGCCAAAATCGTAAGATAAGCGGGTTCGACCCGCCGGGGGTTCGATTCCCTCTCGGCGCAATCACTTTTGCTCCGGAAGACACCGCTCCTCTTTTTGCTCCCATGGCCTTGACATCCTGGAACCCTCCTGATTTTATCGCCTTGCTTCCCTTTCACCACCTCCTTTTGCGTTGCGGAAGACCCAACCCTCAAAATCAACGCAGAAATTAAGCCTTGGCTCCGAACGGTTAATCCAATATATAATGTTGTATTGGGACTCTACGACTCCCGACGATTGCTTATGTGTGCGTTTTAACCACAGGTTATCAGAAGGAAAGAAATTGTAAAGAATGGAGACGGTTAGTCCAATCTGCAGGACCTTTACGGCTGCGCCTTAACGCATGCATGTCCACCTTCCAGCCTTCTGACGGCGAATTCCAGGAACCGACATGATCAAGAGCACCGTTGATATTCCAATCGTCAACACTAAGTATCTACGCAGTATCAAGAGGATGGGTAAAAACCAAAATCGACCCATTCCCAGGCATTTCGCCACCTGTGAATAGGACCTCGCGGCGAACTCGATTTACCAGGTGCAGCTGAAGGAACTGAGGGTTAAATCATAATTTGTATCCGGCTGTGCTGCTTACAAGAAGGACGAGATCACGTCATTCATCCCGATGGTTGAGAGATCGGAAATGCCGGGGAAAAAGATGGGGCCGACTCGGGGGCCCGCGCAGCCGCCATCCCTGCGATGACATTATCAGTGCTGGGTATACAACGAAACTGAACGAGCGTACGCAAAAATGTAGCACTGCTGGCCTGCATCGGGCCCGAAGGACGAGACAGTGTTGTCGATCTCGGGCGAGAAGTCAACGCAGTCGCCGCTTTTGGCGGCGACGTAGTGCTCGCAAATTGCGGGAGGCGTCTTCACGAAGTTGGCCTGGCTGCAGGCGAAGCTGATACAGCGTCAACCATCAGTGACACATTGTGGTTAGGTGGAGCGGTAGCAGTACGCACACGTGGCCCACAGTCCTGGCGGAGAGAGTCTGTGAAATGGAAGTAAGGTGTTTCAATTCAACAGGCATGAAAATCCTACCTCGACTTCGCTGCGCATGGCAGGCGGGAGTGCCGCGACAAGGGGAACGAGCGCGAAGAATGCGGTTGAAAATTTCATGTTTTTTCTGCTGGAAGTGATTTGGAACTGGGAGAAACTGGAAGACGGAGAGGGAAGACGACTTGACTTCCAGAGGCTGTTGGGGCTGCTCTTTATACAAATTCCTGCGGAAGAGTAGGCCCGTTTAGAATATCGCGGGACATATTGCCCCCGAAGGGACCAAGTGGAACATTGAAATGCGCGATTTTTGAATGAATGCAAGACGTTTAAACAATGCGCGTCCCGAGAGCCGAGGTCTCGGCAGAATGCACACCGGGCATCTGCCGTGTAGCGGTGATTTGGAGCTCGTAACGTAAACTGTCGTAAGTGGCTGTTCCACTGAACTTGAAACGTAATTGTTTGGCCTGCCGATGGCTGGAGAATGCGTCCCTGAGCAAACGAATTGTGAAGAGATGGGTCTAACCCGCTGCAGCCTGTCAGACAACGGCCATAGTGGCTGCCTAGGATTTGTGAAATGGTACCGGGGACGTAAGCGTATTTTTGCCGTCGTCTTAAGCGCCGGGGTGATGTACAGGTTCCAGAATCCGTCGCGGCTCGCTCGGCACTTGCAAAACAGCTATCTGCGCGTCCCGAGCGCGAGCACCGTGTTGTAATTTCTTACGGAATCAGACGGAGTTTGGGGAAAGAATCCAAGATAATAATTAGCGGTTGGCTGAGCTCTGCAAACGCTTGAGCTTTACATAGAATCTGTAGCCGCTTATATACTAAATTGTCCAATGTAACTAGAATGTTCCATAATATTCTCCCGTGTTCCCCTGTGTTCTCTCACTGACTCACACTAACTCACACTGACTCGCACTGACTCGTTACCTCGGCCATGATGCCGGGTTGCCTCTTATGGCACTAACTCCAATACACCGTGGCCTATTCAGAAGCACGATATTAATGTCAATTCCATTATTATTAAACGGTGAGCTGGGCCGTGAGCGCCGGTTTCACTTCCATTAGACCTATGTTCGACTTGCTCTTCATTACGCCTTGCTCCTTATAGAAAGCAGCGTCGCCAGGAGGAATCAAAATTCGAGGACCGCCATGACTTCGGGTAGATTCGAACCACCGACTCTCCCCAACATCAACTCGACATACAACAAGATGCTACAGTATGGGAGTGAGGCCATACTCCACGAAGACTTCCTCAGCAAGCCAAATGCCTTGCTACCTACTCAAGGGAATCATGCGTGCAACCGCCCGGGCGATAATCTGACGGGTATAAGTTGAAGGAGGTATCATTTTAATTCCCACGTATCTTACATAGATACACGCATTACAGTTAAGGACACACATTGCATCCAAGGGGGCGTGGCGTCCTCATCCCCCTGTCTGTCTGCGGACTCGGAGTCGGAAGTGTTGGGCCCGCCGAGGACGCCGCGCGCTGCGAACGCCTCGGGCGGGACACGGGCGGCATGACAAATGCCGCCCCAAACCTTGACCCCGCGGCGGGAGGGCGAGCAGCGCCATGGGGCAGTGTTGTCAGGGTCAGTCGTAAAGGTCAGAAGTGGTCAATAGCGCTGACCTTTCAATGCATTAACCGCGTCAATTACCAGTCATAGATGGGACCATCAAAATATTCTTGTGTGCACTGATCCGCCCATATTTCCTAACTTTAAACAATTTTGTCGTCGTTAACGTTATTCGCTAGAGGAGGTCAATCAAAAAGGGTTAATGGTCATTCCATTGACCTGTATAGATTCGGTCGGACCGGGTTAATGATAGCAATGCCACGGGGTGCGGGGACGCAGATACCAGGGTGTACCTGTCTTACATAAAGTCAGGAGAATCGGATGCAGACGCACGGAGATACCCCGCGGCGCCCTGCGGTAGCACCATCTTCGCTGCTTTCCCCGTCTCCTCGCTGCGTGCTAGTGCTACATAGTTCTGGGCCGCCATGAAATGACCCCGGAGTACCCGTGGGGGTGGACACCTAGTACGCTCCCACCTCGTCTGCCGGCATCGGCTAGGCGTCAAGGATGCTGGGAAACTGAGTCGATAGTGGGGGGTGCTGATTCATATTGGAACGAAGCAGTGCTCCCTTAACCCTTTACATAATTGCTATCTCAATGCGGATGACCGTGAGGCTGGTGGCGGTGCTCGGGACAAATATACGTCAAGGGTGGTTCAAAAATCAGGGGGGCTGCAGGGTGTATCGGTAACCAGCACTCCTAATCTCTGAGTAAATCGGAGATTGCCGGGCCTCGCTAAGATCGAGGGTTCGAACCCCAGCTAAGCCGTCACTAGGAGGGTTCTAGTGGGTATTACCTAATTTAGGTCGAGTCCCACACTGTTCGGCATCTGCCCTTCGTGCGTAAATGCATTCCCACCTTTGGAGTAGGGTCACATGTCCCCTACCAGCTTTGCGGACCAGCGGGGCTAACCAATTGTTAGTTGCCAATGGTCATAACAAACGCACCTCCAAAAAAAAAAAAAAAACTTGTTCAATCAAGGAATCAGCCAAAACCAAAGTGAGGTTAAAACATTTTTTTTTCATACCAATGGATGCTGTCCGATGTATTCATCTATGTTGGGCTAAAATCGATCTCATATTCCAGAGTTACACAAATATTTATAACCCAACTGGAGACAAGTAGAAGAGCCGTCCTCAGGCAACGCCTGGACTAAGAATGAACCTCTTACGGTGCGTTGAATCAAAAACTCGCTCGTACACACATTCAAATACTGAAAAGTTCAAATAGCTGGGAGTTGCTTACGTGCAAGTCAAAGCGAAGCCGAAGGCCAACTACGCTCAACTACGCCGTCACGAATTCGGTGATGGCCGCATCCAATCAGATCACGAGTCCGATAAGATCAAGATTAGATGGAAAAATGGTTGAGCACTGATATGAAGTGTGGTTGGGAACTAGTGCCTTGAAGGCACCGATTGAAAGTGTCCAAAAAAGCATTAATTCCCAAAACACTCGATATTAGTGCTAAAATGGATAAATTAGTGCCTAGGCACGACATGAAGTGCTTTTACTGTTCACAGTGTCAACTTTTGTCCGTAGGCCGACCTCTCGCGTGAAAGGGGCGCATGCTGTAGACCCCTCGGGTACATAATGTCTACCTTCGACCCTATGTCGATATCGAAACGACGAAAACACCCTGCTCGCTTCAGCATCACCATCGCCTAACTTGAAGCCCCTTCACCTCACATCATTTCCCCTTCGTCCACAAAGCTCGACCAGGACATGCCGAATACGTACTCCCAGTACTATTATACCCTTTCACAAAAAAACATCATATACCTCAATGTGGTCAATCCCTATGGCCCTCCGAGGGCAGTCGCCAGCATTCGGGACGATCCCATTCAAACCCCCTTCCCTGCTGGCCATAGTGAAACTTCGTTCACTGTGGTTGTCAATGCTGCCACCCTGCAATATACATGCAAGCGTCTCCCCTGTCAGCTCAAAACGAATCGTTATAACGGGCAGCAGGAGATGATACACAGGTAAGCCTCCGCTACAAATGTTCCGAACAACTCTCAATATTGGTCCCCAGGTGGGAGATAACACGAGTCGGTACTACTCCGGTGAAGTACCTTCTGAAATGCAACCGCACAACTAGTGCCTTCGAAGTGAGTTGCGATTTCCGCGCGCGCTGGCCGCTTATAAACGGTGTACATTCAGTTACAGGCCGAGCTATTGCAGCAAAGGGTAAATGTGGCCTCTGGAAACCACCTCCCGAACAGCATCGCCATCATTAATCTTGATCAGCGCATCCTTACACCTCAACATCTTGAGGATATCGTAGCTATCGGACATGTTCGTCGGATGAACGCAAACACGTTCCGGACCTTCGTCACGCCCTTTGCGTAGAAAGCCATGATCGTGTGTATTTTAGCTAGAGTGAGATATCCGGAACGAGAAAGTGTAATTATAAAATAAATGTTGGGATTTTCCATAATGTTCAGTTAGTGCAGGTGCAGGTGACCGTGCAACTGTCTGCAGCGCAAGAGTTTCTCGTACTGTTATCATCTGATATACTCATGGTGGGCTTCCAAAGTTTTTTAAAAATCGCGCCAATCCCCAGCTACGTCTTCGTCGAGCCACCGACTCTTCCTAGATCCGGCCTAGGCCTACCCGGACATCGGAAGAGAGCAACTTGAAGTTCCATCCTCCACGAAAACTTCTTTATCCGTATACGCGTCCTGCTCTCAGGGCCGGAAAGGTTCAGCGAATCAAAAAGCTTGACCTCGCATGTCTTCGGGTGGATTCGAACCACCGACGCTTGCCACCTGCATTCGTGCGAAGGTACAGGATGGAAGTGAGCTCCGTGCTCCACAAAGACTTCCTTGCCCCCAGTCACAGGCGGCTATCCCTGCTAACCCATTCGGCGACTAAAATTGAAACTTAAAAGAAAAGAGGAAACCTCAATCGCATCATGCCCTCGGGTGGGCTCGAACCCACCGACATTTATCCCCGAGATAAATGTAAAGGGGACACAGGCGGGAGGGAATTTCGTACTCCACGAAGGTTTTCTTCCTCAACTTCCCACGTCGATCAGCCCGACTGTAACATGAATCAACGGCAGCCGCGCAGGAGCAGGAGAATAGTCTTCAACACTACACGCGTATGTCCTCGGGACCCGGGTGGATTTGAAACTCTCCCCAACTTACTGTAACTCACTGAAGCATTATTACGTGAGGAGCTTCACACTTCACGAAACCTTTATTCATCGCCGTTGCACATTCCTAGGTGGGCAAAAAAAAGCTGGGCTCTCGAAGAGAAAAGCCAGTCCTCACTATACAGATCTCCGGGTGGATTCGAGCCACCGACTCTCCCCGACCTTCTGCGAATCACAGTACAATAGGGGAGTGAGCTTCATACTCCACGAAGACTTTGTTTCCCTAATTTTCACCTTACTAGGTGGGCAAAGAAAAAGCGGAGTCGGCGTGCATTGCAGCGGAGAAACATTTGGACGCGGCTCAATACATGTATATGTGTGTCTTCGGATGAACCTGAGTTCAAAGTATCCCGCGCTGAGGTATGGGAGTGAGTTCTGTACTCCACGAAGACTTCCTTTCCCTAATTTGCACCTCCCCAGGTGCGCGAAATCAGCTGTGCCCCCAGACGGAAAAAAGACTGAGGTACCCTTCCTACTTATGTCTTCGGGTGGGTTCGAACCACCGACTGTCTCCAACCTCCTTCGATTCGTGGCACAGTATGGGAGTGAGTTCTGTACTCCACGAAGACTTACTCCCTCTTTGCTGCAGCCCCTCATTTGCGCAGGAACGCTCGTATTGTATACGCGGACCAAAATGCCACTCGCTCGAAGGTATGTCTTCAGGTGGGCTCGAACTACCAACTCTCCCAGGATATCTCGTTGCTGGACTACGGTATGGGAGCGAGTTGCATCCTCACGAAGACTCCCTTTCCCCATTTACCGCCGGCCATCCGCGCCAGCAAGCTCCGCTGGCTCCGCGCTTGAGGGTAACCTCGGAGTCGGTCGTCGCAAAATATGTTAGGAGTCCTAAAATTTATTTTAGGCTCGTTTCTTTGGCATCCCGTCCCACCCAACTTTCGTCGTTTTTGGCCATGACGTAGTGGATTCTTTCCTCAACATCTGCGCAATTTTGCCTCCTTTTAGCTCTTCGTCGCGTCAGCAAGCCGGTGGACTGCGTGTGCAAGCCGTTTTTTTGGCAGGTTTGACTCGAGTCATTTACTTTACGGGGGTTGGATCTTAGGCGGTGACGTGAAGGCCGAGCGGACGCGCGTGCAGGCCGAGCGAACGCGCGTTTCCTATAGTGATATTTTTTTCTACTGGTTCGGGTCCGAGTTTTCTCGAGTCGTAATGACTGCATTACCGGGGTTCTTGGATATGCCCATGGCCTTTGCGCTGGCGTGATGCGTCTGTCTGTTCGCATTTTGCACTTGGTTTTATTTTCGGAATCGTCCTTCAATCGTAAGCTGTGTGTTAGTTGGACCTACGAGCGCTTGAGCCACATCCCTTCGTATCTTCCGCCGAACTGCAATTGTTGTAAGGATAGAAAATAGTCCGATATAAGTGATATCGGCACAAGAGGTGGGCCGAGCGACTTTCATCGGTCTACATCTTGGACTTTCCACTGGGACTTCAGAGTCAACTGGAGGGATCCAGAATTTTGGCTACCCCAGTAACCCCACCAGTTGTGCATATTCTCCGTCGACTCAGCCCTTAGATTGTTTTATTCTGCTCGCTGCTAGACACAGTTGATTTTACAATCTTTTTCGGCAGACTTCGGCATGCTTGAGTCCCAAGATGAGGTGACGTCATGACCAAACCGGCGGGCCTTGCTCAACTGGCTGTTCTGAGGGACGGGCTGCTTACATACCCGCCCTCCCCTTGACAGCTGTCACCGTCAAAGGGAGGTCTGTGTCCGGGACTTTAAGTAGTACCGCTCACCTCTTGTCTCGGCATCCGGATCACGGCCCGCATTCCGGACAGCAGCCCAATCACTGGTTGATTTTGAACCTACGCTTGCTGGGGCTCATAATGTGAGTCACATTCTTCCGGAAATGAAACCGACGTAGACTCGTAACCAGCCCTACGTTGAGTAACAATAAGAGTCGTGATATGTAGAAGCCCTATACAATTTATTTGAGGTCAAACCGACCAAAATTGAAGGAGGAAAAAAAAATGCGCCCCGGGTTACTCGAACGTTCGAGTAACACCACGCGTATTTTTTTTTCTCCCTCAATTTTACTCCGATTCACTTAAAACAACTTGCGTACTACTCCTAGGATTTGTTACTCAACATAGAGCTGGTTCCGAGTCTAAAACCGACGTGTGATTCCTGCAATAATATATACATGTAACCCGGATAAGCGGTGCAGAAATACGCTGTATACCGCTCCCGCTGTCGTCTGTCAAATATCGGGTCCGACTATCCTAGAAAGGTTGATCGGTGACGGATTCAAGTTGGCCGTGCCGCGAGGAGCGACCGAAGGTCGGCGACGAGCGGCACGGAAGGGTGCTGCTTTTCATTGTGGGTGCAATCGTCGCTGGTAGCACCTGTTTCTGGAGTGCAATTTATGGGTTTATTATGTCCTAACATACCGTTGGTGATCCCAGGAACCATGCCGTTCAAATTCGTCATACGGCTTCACGTACTACCGGATACTAGCGCTTAGTACTGCATGCGATCACAGCCTCCGTTTCCAGTTAGTTCCGTGCCGAATTCATTATTGAGGGAAATATCTTGATAGTGCTCAGGGACTGAACAAGCATACTATGGTTTTGGTTTTTAAATCAGAGCTCGAGGTCTGGGCCTTTATGTCCATTGGAGTACAACATTTCCTGCTAAATAACTGAACTCCTCACAACTGAGTTGCGGCCACGCGATGAGTTGCTGCTACATTTAGGTATGTCGGAACACATGCTAAGGAGCTACGTAAGGTTCCCCTCAATGCCGTCTGCGAAGCGTGCCTTCGAACTGAAGGAACTATTTAAGAGTAGCTAAATAGCTCACTCCTTCACTTGGAGCCGGAAGTCATGCCATACCGCAACAAAGTCATTTAACACCATGCGGAGTGAGTATCGGCAACTCGAGTCAAGAGGCCCTATATTTCAGCACATACTCGCCCCCTGGCGCTAACATCCTGCAACAATTTTTTTTCTCCTTGGGTTGGGGTTAATGTACTTCAAGGTGAAGTTGCTTTCATTCAAGAGGAAATCAAATGTTGCTAAATCACTGAGGTCCAGGCCGATACTCAAGGAATTTCTCAGTTCAAAGGGTTTGTCGGCTTGTGTATCACAGTTCTCATTGAGACATTTCTGCAGCACTAATAGTAATCCGAAGACTTACTCAGTTACTGTAGACGGTCACGTCCACTATTGAGTCATGTGATCGCGATTTACGAGGTTCGGATCGCAAAACATGTTATTGCCGCCGAGCGGAGTTGAATAACCCCGACCTTTGATGGTGTTGATTTACCCTCAGTTTTTAGCCTCGTTCCTCTTGAATCAGCCTTACTTTTAGAAACTGACACCAAATGACCATAAAATTGATTCAACGCATTCAGCGCATTGATTCGCCTGCATCTTTTGTAGCTTTCTTCTTCTTGAATTACCCAGACTTTTTTGGTCTCATGTCGTATTGAATTGACCTCACTTTTGAGTGCGGAGGCTATTGAAACACCCTCACTTTTGCGGCTGGCGGTGTTGAAACACCCCAGCTTTTCGTGGAACTTTTATTTTGCACCACCTTGTCCCAACTAGAGTCCTGAACGACATGGAGGATCTTTACTGAAGGAATGAAGCAGGAGGAGCAGTGATAGCACGAGGCAAAATCTATGTAGCTCTTATTTTTTGGATGTTCAACTCGGATCGGGGACCCCGCCGTCAGAGTCGAACCATTGCGATGTGAAGGTTGATTTGAGTCGGCAAGGCTTGTTGAGCAAGCATAATATTTCCGAAAGCAAGCAGTCCGATATTTTGGCCCTACACTGATATTGGAGTCGAGTACGGGTCACCCAATTGGGAAAGTGAGGGTGATTCAATAGCATTGATCCCGAAAAGTGAGGATGATTCAATAGCACAAATCCAGAAAAGTGAGGGTGATTCAACATCCAAAGTCGGGCCAATTCATAACAAAAAATCAACCAAAATATTGCAGTGAATTCAATCACGGCAAGAAGGTAGATCAATAATTTCATAGCGGTGGTTCAACACGGTCAAGAAAAAAAAGTGAGGATGATTCAATCCCACAAAATGTGGGTGGATCAACACGGCATAAACTCCGAGTGATTCAAGAGCACCCGGCGGTGATAACCTATTTTCGGTTCGGATCACTTCGCCTCATGTGTGCCAGGTCGACTTCATTTCCAGTCGCCAGATTTGCACTGAAAGAATTTCAAACGGGCGGGAGCTTTGTCACATGTGCGTTGAACCGCGGGAACTCCATGCACACATTCTTGGTTGAAATATTTGAGGTCTAACCTAATGAACATCCCTCCTCGCAGTAGCACTCACAGATCAGGAGGGTCCGTGGCACCAATGTGTGCCGAGCCTCAACTGAACTCCAGCTTTGGAGCAGAATGTTTCATTCACCTCACAGTTCGAATTTACAGGCTGAATTTTCTGCATGGATCATTCCGCACATGGAGCTTTATGTTAATTTTTATTTGAACCATGCCACCGTAGAGACTCCGTGATACTTACGGCTGTACGCCCAATCCAAATAGCAACTTAGATAGTGTGAACCCTTCCTAGAGCTCTCTCCTCTAGGATCCCCAGCTACAAATTAATTGGGAATCCAACATCCGGCTGAGTTTGAATATTCGGTAAATGTATGGCCACTGCACGGCACG